AAGCTTTCCAACAATTCCCTTTATGACTTCAAACATTTCCTGTGTCCTATCTCCCAAAGACTAAACATATACATGCAATCACAGGAAGTTGAGGAAACTGTAGACCCCAAAAAGAGAAATAAAGGGTACCAAATGTAACAAACTCCTATACTTTTTCATCCCTTTGTGATTTTGCACTGGGTTATGTAAAAATTCCTCAGGTTAAGCTTCCAGTTCCCTAAGCTGATGTTTAGACCTGTTCTTTTTACAATTCATCCCAAACTAATATTTTTAATTTTTTAATTGAAGTATAGTTGAGTGATAATATTATATTAGTTTCAGGTATACAAACATAGTGATTCAATATTTTTATAGATTATATACCATATAAAGTTGTTATAAAATATTGGCTATATTCCCTGTGTTGTACATTACACCCTTGTATCTTATTTATTTTACATCTAGTAGTTTCTGTGTCTTAATGCCCTTCCTCTATCTTGTTCCAGTCCAATCCTTCTTCCCACTGGTAATGACTAGTTTGTTCTCTGTACTGTGAGTCTATTTCTGTTTTGTTATATTCATTCTTTTGTTTTGTTTTTTGGATTCCACATATAAGTAAAAACACAGAATTTTGCCTTTCTGTGTTTGACTTATTTCACTAAACATAATACCTTCCAGGTCCATCCCCGTTGTTGTAAATGGCAAAATTGCATTCTTTTTTATGTCTGAGTAATATTCCATTGTGTATATATATTACATATATATGTATATATATCTCACATTCTCTCTATGCATTCATCTGTTCATGAACACTTAAGTTGCTCCCATATCTTGTCTTGGCTATTGTAAATAATGCTATGAACACTGGGGTTCAATGTTTTCAAATTTGTGTTTTCATTTCCTTCAGATATATACCTAGGAGTGAATATTGCTGGATCATATGGTAATTTTATTTCCGATTTTTTAATATAAATGGTAAGAGTGGGCATCCTCGTCTTGTTCCTGATTTTAGAGGAAAAGCATTCAGCTGGAAAAAAAAATCTAGGTTAAGTGTATTCCCCTCTTTCTCTCGCCTATCTTTTTTGCATAATTATGGGTATTATTTCCACTAGACTCTAAATTCTGTGAGTGCAGAATATAAACCTATTTCATTCTCTGTAGTAAACCCAGAATGTAGCATGGTACTTGGCACAGAATAGGCACTAAAAAGTGTTTGCTGAATACATGTTATGGAAAGAAGGAATCCTAGAGTTGGGCTGGACAAAAGAAGAAAAGGTGATAAAATAAAAAGGTGATAAGAGGAAACAAAGACTTAACATTATTTATCAAGAAAGATAAATCAAATAAAAAGTCATTTGCTGGACATACTACCCAAAGCAATCTACAGATTTAATGTGATCCCTATCAAATTACCCATGACGTTTTTCACAGAACTAGAACAAATAATCCTAAAATTCATATGGAACCACAGAAGACCAAGAATTGCCAAGGCAATCCTGAAGAAAAAGAACAAAGCAGGAGGTATAACCCTCCCAGACTTCAGACAATACTACAAAGCTAAGTAATCAAAACAGTGTGGCACTGGCACAAAAACAAGACATATGGATCAATGGAACAGGATAGAGAGCCCAGAAATAAACCCACACACTTATGGTCAGTTAATCTTCAACAAAAGAGGCAAGAATATACAATGGGAAAAAGACAGTCTCTTCAGCAAGTGGTGTTGGGAAAGTTGAACAGCCACATGTAAATCAATGAAGTTAGAACATGCCCTCACACCATACACAAAAATAAACTAAAAATAGCTCAAAGACTTAAACATAAGACATGACCCCATAAAACTCCTAAAAGAGTTCATAGGCAAAACATTCTCTGACATAAATCATACCAATGTTTTCTTAGGTCAGTCTCCCAAGGCAATAGAAATAAAAACAAAAATAAACAAATGGGACCTAATCAAACTTACAAGCTTTTGCACAGCAAAGGAACCATAAACAAAACAAAAAGACAACCTACAGAATGGGAGAAAATATTTGCAAATGATGTGAGCAATAAGGGCTTAATTTCTAAAATATAGAAACAGCTCATACAACTCAACAACAAAAAATCCAATCAAAAAATGGGCAGAAGACCTAAAAAGACATTTCTCCAAAGAAGACATACAGATGGCCAATAGGCACATGAAAAGATGTTTAACATCACTAATTATTAGAGAAATGTAAATCAAAATTACAATGAGGTACCACCTCACACGGGTCAGAATGGCCATCATTAAAAAGTCTACAAATAACAAATGCTGGAGAGGCTGTGGAGAAAAGGGAACCCTCCTACACTGTTGGCGGGAATGTAGGTTGGTCCAGCCACTGTGAAAAACAGTATGGAGGTTCCTCAGAAAACTAAAAATAGAATTACCATATGATCCAACAATCCCACTCCTAGGCATATATCCAGACAAAACTATAATTAAAAAAGATACATGCACCCCTATGTTCATAGCAACACTATTCACAATAGCCAAGACATGGAAACAACCTAAATGTCCACTGACAGCTGAATGTATAAAGAAGATGTGGTACATATATACAATGGAATACTACTCAGCCATAAAAAGGAACAAAATAATGCCATTTGCAGCAACGTGGATGCAACTAGAGATTATCATACTAAGTGAAGTTAAGTCAGAAAGAGAAAGAAAAATACCATATGATATCACTTCTATGTGGAATCTAAAATATGACACAAATGAACCTATCTATCTATGAAACAGAATCATGGACATAGAGAACTGACTGGTGGTTGCCAAGGGGGAGGACTTTGGGGGAGGGATGGAGTAGAAGGCTGGGGTTAGCAGATGTAAGCATTTATACATAGAATGGATAAACAGCTAGGTTCTACTGTATAGCAGAGAGAACTATATACAATATCCTATGATAAGCCATAATGGAAAAGAATGTATTAAAAAAAAAGAACATGTTATTCAGTATGTATAACTGAATTACTTTGCTGTACAGCAGTAATTAACACAACATTGTAAATGAACAATTAAAAAAATCATCTGAAACTAGTGCTACAAAATGATTGCTAAAAAATGAAATTGAAGAATCCTCATAGATAACAATCTTTAATGTTGAGATTTTTTTCCTATGAATTGTTCCAAATGGGTAGGAACTAAATTCCATTAGTCCAAGCAAGGATACTTCCTTAGGAGTCAGTAAAAGATATTAGAATGTATAAATTAATGGTTTTTGAGGAGCACTTAAGCATGGCAAACTATACTATCAGATGATTACAATATACATTAGTTATAGTCACATTCAGAATGTGTTGATTTCAAAGAGTATAACACACAAATGTTATCTGGTAATATTTGCCATTCTTTAAAATCTAGGGAAATAGATTTGTGAAGGATGAGAAGAGTGTCAGCTTTCAAAAAAATTAAAATAAGACACATGCATTCTCCATAAACTATTTATGTTAAGAAGCAACTCAGTCTTAATTTTAATATTACTTAAGCTCAGCTGTGAAATTTTAAATTCCTAAATTTAGATTTCTAAACTCCTCTGGCAAAATTTGTCTTCTTTGGAGGTTATTAAATCAATTAACCTTGCAAAGGGAAGGTTAAAAGGACTTCTGTAGGCTACAATCTCACAGCATGAAAGAGAACAGGCAGAAGCCTGAGTGAACTGCTGGTAGGGTTCAAGGAAAGGCTTACACTAGCAGATGATCAGCTCTGTTCTTGCTAAAATTTGGCAAAGAATTACACTGTGGTTTCTTCAGATGACAGCATCATAATTCATTTAGCTCTCCCCCTACCTTTTCACAAAAAGGCCAAAACCCCATAGGAAATGTGAGCACTGACATTTTCTACCCAGGATCAAAAACTGACTATTTTGCCAGAAATTGAAAACAATATAGCTAAAACAGTAAATACATAGCAATGTGTTGAAAGAAATAGGCTGCTGGACTGGCCAGTGACATAATCCATCATTTCTATTTTAACTTCTGATAGAAAGGTTAAAAAAAAAAAGATAAATATACGTTTGGACTGGCAGATTTCCATGCAAATATAATGAAAATCAAATAAATTTTAAAGAATCTCTTTGCATTAATTTACAGATTATGACCTAAAGATTTACACTAAACACTGTGCCTTTAAGGCAAGTTTGATTATACATTTCTATCTGATTTCCAGGCAGTTAAAAGCTAGCTTAAGGGCCATCTAGAAGGCATGATTTCTTTTCTTTCCACAAAATGCTAAAGCTTCTTTATCATTCTGTATTCAGTCATGAATTCAGCTGCACAAGCCAAATGTAAAGATTTTATGGGGTGATCTATCATGCGAAGTCGTGAACAAGCCTACTCATGCAGTCACTAAGAGTGATTTCCATTTTTATGAATGAAAAAGAATCTTGCATAAACATTGTTTATTTAAAGTTTTAAATAAAGAAAGATGCAAAACAAAATGGGAGCATTTTGTTTTATATGTCAGTATCTTACAAGAGGGCAAAGTAAGGAATCTGGCTCACATGATTCCCAAGACAGCAGTATCTCCTTTGCATTAAGTACGTAAATGAGATTTATGGCCACTGACCTAATCTTAGATGCCAAAATGTACAGTAGGAACAGCCTTCTGAAAAGCTTAATTTAAAATTATGATGTTAACAAAAGCACTTTAGGAAGCAGACAACACACCCAGCATACATGCACACGTTAATCTAAGATACATGACTATAGAAAGAAGCCATGGTTATTTGCATAAAGCTTTAGAATACATTTCAGAGATAATTCAAACACAAAGGTTTTACTCTTTTTCCCTATCACCTTGATGTTTATGAATTTCCAAATAAATACATTATCACTAGACAGTTGATTTTCATCACTAAAGATCACTTAATACCAGATATTCATAGATTCTGGTTTGGGGAAGGCTTAGAATTAAAATAAATAAATAAACCTGTTAATTGTTTTTCTGAATTTTAAAAGCAGTTTCCTTACTCACTAAGTACTAACTAAATTAGCACCTTGTAGAGAAGAAAAGGCTTGAGCTGCTGCAATTATAACACTTTCTTCACTGAATGAGAGAAAGGCGGCTATGATGCCGTTAATCCACTGGTAACCACTTGGAGATTTTCCTGAGCTCATTGATTTTTGACCTGAAAAAGAAAAAAAAGAAAGAATAAGAAAGAAAGAAAAAAAAAACAGTAAATGAAACCTATAATGACAGATGTCAAATCAACACTTTCCTAATATAGTTCCATAAAACAGAACTCCTGGGAGGAAAATAACATCCTGCATAATAAAATGTCAAGTTAAAGAAACACATTCCTTCCCTTATCACTGGGTTTTAACAAGTGAATTATGCATAGTTAGAGGAGGTAAACATATAGTAACAAATGTTTTTCAAATGATTTCAAAAGTTTTTAACTTTTAAATATAGTTGAAGCTCTGAAATGTATTAATACATTTCAGGTATAAATAAATATATCATCCCTGAAAGAGATAAATTATGCTACCATGTAACTTGTGCATAGGGTTAAAAAGATTTTTAAAGAGTACCATTAAAAAACTGAAGTTAAAATGCAGGATTAAAAAGAACACTGGGTTTTATAAGTTATCTGTACATTCAATTCTAAATTCCTGTCTTAGTTTAGACTGTCCCAAAAGAGAGTCTAAAATAAGAACTTGGATGTAGGTAACTTATTTGGGAGGTAAATCACAAAAAGCTGACTGAGAAGGCATGGAGAGCAAGACAGGAGAGGAAAAGCCAACAATGCTACTGAGTGGGTTAATGATCTGAGCAACCAAGGATCAATTCTACTGGGAATTCTCTGAGGCGCTCTGTAGAAGGTGGCTCAGATTGCTCATCTGAAGGATATCAGGCTGGTGTACTTATTCACAATATCCCGTCCCCCATTAGTTGAACGCTGCTGCAAGTGCCAATATCTCCCTCACTCTTCCAGGCTTCCTTGGCACAAGGGCTGAGTATGCTCCCTTGGTTTCAGAGGAAGTCCTGAGGCAGAAGAATGGAGCAATGCACATCCCAAGTTTTGGTAGAACATTGTTAGTGTGCCCAAAACTATTTGGCAGTGCTCGACAGCACGTGACAAGGGCACCAAAAACCTGTGCCTCAGATGCCAGGTCACCTACAAAAGTTATCACTGCATTACTTTGAATCAGCTCACAAGATGGAGATTAGTAAGACTCTTTATAAATCTAAAGTTTTTACATTCTAATATACATTATTATTCCTAATTTTAAAAATCTGAAAACAATCTAATTTATAAAAATGATTTATGTGTTTGTATAACCAATACAATTTCCTTTTTTTTTTTTTTTTGGTGTGTGTGTGTGTGCTTTCAGAAGAAATTCATGTTTAAACTAGGCAAAAGGATAAATTTGAAGTTTAAAGAAAAAGAAGCCACTGATGCTAAAAGACAGAAAGAGAAAGTATCACCTAAATAGGTATTATGACAACTAATTTTCACATTGTTTCTATACTACAAAATTATTTAAATGGAAAATAATATAATTTGATCAGTTTTATTCTTTTTTATCTCAGTAAAGAACAATCTGGTTTGGATTAACTCCACATTTTTCAACTAGCTGCTTTAGCATCATGAACAAACACATTGTCTTAATTGTACTTTTTTTTTTTTAAAGGCCATATATCATAGTGCTTAAAATTGCTCAGGCCTTGGGGTCAGATGCCTATGTTTGAATTGTCTCTCTGCAACTAACCAGCTGTACAAAATGGGGACAATGATAATAGTTATATATTTAGTAATTAGTACTTTAGGATTAAATTATATGATACATATGAAGCCCTCAGAAAAGTGTCCATCTCATAATAACTGCTCCGTAACATTACAGATTATTATTATTATGTATTGCTAATAATCTACAAAAGTTAGGAGGTAAAAAGTCATTAACAGTAAGTTGTAATTATGTGTGCTTTCATATACAATTATACTACAAAGCAATAAAGGAGAAAAAAGACTGAGTAAAACATAAACTCACTATTTTGTAGAAGGGGAGTCAATGATTTCCAGATGAGAGGTGGAGTTTCATTTTGGTCTTCTTCCTCTTTGAGAGCAAGGATGTTATCCTCATTACAGTTCACCTCACATGAGCAGTTACCCATAAACAGCCTGTCTGAGGATGTCAAATGCTAAGAATAAAGATTAGTGAGCAGAATAAGAAATGATGAATCAGGAAGCTAAAAAAAAAAAGATGAAATTGGATAGATAAATGCAATTTACATTTACTCAAGAAAAAAGGAAAAGCAAGAAATTTATCCATTAATAGGAAAATGCAATATCTGAAAATGGGAAATAGTAGATATTGGTGACACAATGTGGTCAATGACCAATGTGGAATAATAGATTACAATCACACAAATGACTGGTGTATTACAATCATGCAAAGGAGCAAAAGCATTATAATACAATAGCACAGAGTTAGGTTGTGAGTTGCTCAAAGAAAAGGGAAAAACATCATGAAGCTATTAAAGGCAAAAGGGATAAAGTAAAAAAGCATCAATTAAAAAATTTTTAAATTCCAGTAGGAAAAAAGGTTGATCATGCAGTGGCAGGCCAGCATTAGAAAGTCATATGTTAGCACAATTACTATGTAAGTTCAATTAAATAAATAAACATATAAACTAATACCATAGTCTAAAGTAGGACACAGTAATACAAATAAACAAAGCACTGAGCATACCTTTAGGAAACTAAATTTATGTTCAATCTGGGATAAATTTGTTATTGCATATTGGCACAATGGATCTAAATTACTATAGGTATCTAATGGGCATCAAATAGGCTTCTTCAGGTTTCCTAATTTTGAATTTAAAAGTAGAATAGAGAAGAATACTTTTTTGAGATTCTATAATTGCAGCTCGAAAAGAAACATCATTTTTTTTAAAGATGAGACCTAAGGTTACGTTAAAGAACAACTTTCATCAACTAATCCCAACAAACTATGCATTGAATTTCTAGTTTGGTTTAAAATAGGGAGACATACATAAAATATAGCTTGAAGGTAAATTTGTATTTCACAATAGAAAATAAAGTACATTTTCTCCCAGTTTTTAAAAGTTGTTTCCAAGTGGTTTTAGAAACTGAGTTTTCATATTAAAACACAGTGTTCTCATTATGTGGGTTTTCATAATATGAACCTGAGAAAAAATGCTGAATGTTTTTCTGTAAAACTAACCAATAAACTTTAGAAAAGTCAAATTATTCATGCTCATCTGGTCTGCTTTTTTCAATAATTTTAAGAATTTTAAAAGGAGAATTTTAAATTTTAAATTTTAAGAATTTTAAAAGGAGAATTTTAAATTTTAAAAGGAGTTTCAGTAATTCCGTGGGTTATCTGATTTCTTTCCTTCAGATACAGTCAGATGAGACGGCATCTCAGTCCAGTATTCCTGCCAGCCAGCTTTAACATTTATCTACTCAAGGCTAATCTTATTCACCTATACTTTCATTCACTTCTTATCCTCACTGGATAATACTGAAGAAAATCCCAGATATCATAATATCTCATCTGTATGTATTTCAGTAAATAAACATACAGAACTATTTTTTCTTTATAAATATAACCACTATACAATTATCACACCTAAAAAAATAATTCTTTAATAACATCAATTATCTTGTCAATATTCCCATCAAAATTTGATGAAATACAACAAAATGTAAGATATCTTAACAAATAGTACAATAAATGGACAAAGCAAAATCCATACCCAATCTGTGTATGTGTCTTAATTTTTAAAATATATCTGGTAATTAACTGAATGTTGTTTTCATATGAATTATTATCAAGTAAAGTTTTTAAGTATCCATTATTATTTAATTTAAAGTCTCCATTAAGCACTACAGAAGGATTTTGACCTTAAGATTCAGTACTTGCCAATGAGTTATCTCCAATGCGTTCACTTTTTTTCTGTGAATAATCACCCTAACTTTTATTTGTACATGCACACAAACTGACATGGGATAATGCTACTTCTATGCCCACCACACAAAAGTACATGATGTCTTTCTAGATATTTTGCTGCCTCACTCTCTATTATATACTGCCTCATGTTCCAACAACTACTGTATCTATAGTAGCAATGAATAGGTAAGGCCCTGGACTACTTTAAATCAATCACTCATCCTCTGACAGATTTAAAAAGTTGGCTAATTCACTTCAACTTAATAAATATTTATTGAGTGCCTAATAAATGCTAGGCTCCACGATGTTATATGTACTGTTATGTGAGCAGTCAATAGGCAAGAAATGATCTCCCCTCTCATCAAGTTTACAATCTAGTCTAGTAGGAAAACTGTAAAAATATGCCAAAGCAATGCCCATGTAACCTATTTCTAAAATTAGGAAATGCGATATTTTAAAAAATCCCTAAAAACATTTGTTTCTCATCTGAAAAATGTGATTTTACTAAGAAAAAGAATGAGGAGAGGCAAAAAGCTCTGCATATAGGAAGCCGTTCAATTAATAGTAACGGGACTAAACTAATTAACCTAGGTTTTTTCTGGATAAGGCATTCGTTACTTTTCCTGTTTAATAACAGTTAGCTGTGTTTAAGATGGGTTAAACAACTTGTAATTAAACCTGAAGTAATCTATTAAGATAAGTTTGAAACATCAAGTCTATTTTTTCTTATTAAATAGCTTTCTTTCTTAGAGGTTTATGATTACTTCTGATGATAAAGAGAAGCCAACTGGAAGGCAGAATTGTAAGCATATACACTAAGCTCAAAGAGGATATGTAAATTGCCAATCCTAAACTCATTAAAAATTCCTCTCTTTCTTTAGAAAAATATTTGTTCCAGGCTGAAAGCCCCATTATATGCAATGGAACTGAACCTTCACTTATAATTAAGGTTGGGTCAAAAGTCTAAACCAGAAATTCAAAATACACATAAATACTTGACCCGAATAAGGGAAAAAAGTCTCCAGTTAAGTGAAAGCTGTATGTTTGAAAGTTCTCAGGAGACTCAATTACTACCCCCCATTCTTTTAGGAAACATAATTCAGGAGAGGCTTAAAAGGAAGTTAAAAACATGCTAGATTCCTAAAGAATTTATATTCTCTCAGATATTCACTTATTTAGGCAAATAAATGACCAAGTGATAGAAACTGAATTGACGAAAAGAAGCAATTAAATAGTATATGAAATAATACATTGTATAATATTTTCCTACATGTGGACCATGGTCTAAATTATAAAGAAAGTAAGAAGGATATTACTGGAGTATATAATTCTGTTCTGAACTTTATTTGGTTACAAAAAAGGTGCGAAATTATTTATGTATTATGTCACAGTTAAAGAATGTGCAAAAATATAGGCAGATATCAGTTCCTATTTTATTTCAAACTGAACTTGAACTACCTTTGGACCTAATCCAGGGAAATTACTTTTAAAACAGCGAAGAATCTTATTTTTGAAGTGACTTTAATCTTTTGTCTTTAGTAAATTATTAGAAAAAAGAGCTGTTTTTGAGAAGAAAATGTTTTTTTCTATGGTTGACTTGGATCAACCACCCATAAACTCACACACACATATAAGACAATCAACAGAGACTGTCAAATATGTAGCTGCAAAGTATCAAACTAGATAGCATTTGCTTAATAAGGATAGATTTCTTGATATAATGTGGCACCCAACATACTAACATTCATTGTGAAAATACTATCACTCAAATAACAATTTAAACATTTTCTATGATTAAACTAGCCATTTTCTAATTGATATTGTTAAATATTACTATGATTATTTAATATTAGCATTATTAAATATTAGCTAATTTCTAATATTTGAGACTGACCTACTTTTGGGGGGTACTGCATTAATCATTATTTCTTCTTGAGACATTTTTTTTTCTATTCTGTCCACAACTACTTTACTGCTTCCAAGGACTTACTTTGATTCCTCATCTCATTTTTAATATATTGAAAAGGACAAATATAACAATTAAAGCATCATATTGAAAAAAATATTCTTCTGTTTTCTCACAAAAATTCTGTATTTGCAACAGATTGAGAAGTTTCCCTCTACCTTTAACATGGAAGTAAAAACTATCTTTAGATTATAAACCATTAACATATTTTTAAAAGATTACTATGTAATTTTAGCACAAATAAGGAAAATTTAGAAGCAAAAAATATAGAATTTCTTCCTAACAAATTATTTTCCATGTTTCTTCTTGTCCTTTTTTACAGATGCATAAATTTTACGCATCTACATTCATATTATACACACAATTATACTTCTATCATTTAAAGATATATAATATGCAATTATCAATGTCATATACCCTGTAAAATAAATACTGTCAATGGATGTATACTATTCCAATGAGTTAATGTGCTATAATTTAACTACTCTAGTACACAGAACAAAGGCAAGTGTGTCCATACTTAAAATACTTAGAAGCATACTTGGTATATAGTAAGTTCTACTTAGTGCTGGCTTTCATTATTATCATTATTATTGTTATCATGCTATTATTATTGTAATTATCATTGTTCTTAGAGTACAGGAAAAAAATGAAACTTGAAAAGAATACAATGAGATATAAAATATTCAAATTAAATTAATATGTATATATTCTTGTGAAATCCAAGGGAATCAACTAAAAAGATACTAGAAATAATAAAACTTTTGTAAGCTAGTTCTACAGAAAGAATCTATAAAAAAAACAGAAGCTTTCTTTATGCGAACAATAACTCATTAAAAAACATAGTGGAAGAAAATCATAATTATATCTAACATTTATTGAACATTTGTTAAGTGCCAGGCACTGTTGTAAATATTTTAAATTTACTGTATTTACTAATCTAACCTTCGAAACCACATTATGAGGTATATGATACCATATTTCATCAAATCTAAGACATCATTGTTAAGACTTATATCATAATTTCAAAGATGTTAAAAAATGGAAAAAAATGTGCCCTAGAATCACTAAGATACAGTATTATCATTCCTATTTTATAGAAGAAACTGAAAGAAGAGAGGTTAGAAAATTTGCTCAAGGTTACTCAACATAAAAGTGGAAGCACTTGAACTTTTTCTTGTTATACATAAATAAAACCATTTTTCTAAATTTACCTTGTATCCAGAAACCTTACAAAACTTAATTCTAAGGATGTGTCT